CACCTATGTGACACAGAGAAAAGCTGACAGACCCCACTGGGGTGCCTGGATTTCAAGAAGCAAAGGTTCAGGGACACTTTCCTTCAGACCTCTTCAAACCCCACATGCAGTAGCAACATTCAATCCGGGGGCCAGACGAGACCTATTCCAGACTAACCCTCCGCCTCCTCCCCCACTGTAACACGTATAGGTTAAACTGAAGTAGTCAGCAGCAGCTGCTGTGATCTACAGATGTGCCATGCCACCTGCTAATGGAGACATAGCCCGTGATACAGCTAGTGGTGCAATTCCCTCTGAGTCAGTATCAAAATGGCATCCTAGTAAGATGTCAAGGGAAGGAGTATCGTGAAAATGTACAGTTTATGTGACAACATGAATGATTACAGGATCCCATTACACTTCTGACAAGTTTATGAATGTTAACCCCAGTATTTTGGCCCAGTCCCAAATCCAGTATTTGTATCCTGCTCACCCAGATTCCCTCCTCATTTCCCACTGGAAACATTACAGTTCATTTCTTGCCCTGTGGCGTTACTGAGTGCATTTAAGTAACTCCCTCATTTCATCACATTTCATCTCCTAAGAGGTTACATTTCTGGACTGAACCAAACAATTGCTTAATATAATTTATATCACCTGATGAAATGCTCTGTAAGGCAAGACAAACTATTATTAAGAATGTATAAAATTGCCCCCATAATACTAGCTTAAATCAGAACTCTAGCCAGTTCATGGGAGAGAGAGGAAAGAGCTTGGGTAGCTGGGCAAAACTTTTCTACATGGCAATTAGCTAACGTATCTATTTAGAAGGTAAAAGACTGTAGTAAATAGAGTGGAACCTTCAAATGTGGCAAGCAATTTAAGTAAGGTGAAGAGCGTACTTGGCCTAACACACCGATCAAAACCAAGGTGAGGACAACATCTGCCGCATTACAGCAACATCTGGCACATTAGAGGCACTAATGAACATGACCATTTTAATTATATTACTTACAAAAACCTGACAGTTAAAACTCAACTGATGAAAGCAACATCGGTGGTATCCAACACTTATCTCCCACTTAAATACTGCCATGTTGGTTTAAGTGACTTTGAAGTACAACAAACACCTGGCCTGTACTGAAGCACTGACACAAAACTCATTGGCAGCAGAAATTCTTTTGGAATAGAAACAGAATATAACACTACCTGTTTTGTTGTTTTTTTAAAGAAAAGAAAAGATCCTCACATAATGATTCTGGTCTGACTTTAACTGTGCCCTTGAAAAAAATACTTTGTAGAAAGAAGGAAGATGAAATTGTGAAAATTTTAAGTATTTTATAATGTTCTTTGAAAATTACCCTGAAAATCTCAATCTAAATGTAGTAAGGCAACATCCTCAGATGATACTCATAGGCAGCACCATATTCTAGGATACTTAAATAACAGTGACACAAAACGTGAAGAGAATAGAAAGTATCAATTTATATGAATTCATTAAAACACTCAACTCAGTCAAATCACAGATGCATCAACCAGCCACTAGAAGTTTCTATTCATTGATTTCCTGGAAAAAGCACGTCTTGGTGGTACATATCTCTGGGACAGGCACTTTTGACAGATCCATCAGCTGGATCACAATTCAAGTGATTTTATTTATTCATTTATCCCAGGTAATATGACAAATCTTTCACTAGGGATGACAACTTCCAAGCATAAATTTACAATGCCAAGATCTGATTTCTGCAGTAAAGTGAATAGACTTTTAGAAGACTACCAGCTGGCATCCAACTCTGGATGAAATGGGGTAGTTTAAAAACAAAAGTGACTCTGCATCTCATGGGACAGATAAACACCACCTAATAATCATACCAATAGAAAATAAAATGCTGCATTCCAACTTCACCATCATACGCTCTTCACTTCTCCTTTTCATTTCCTCAATGTATTTTCAAACAAATTAATCTGGGGAATCCATCTTCTAACTTTGGTCTCTGTGAAGAAGTGAAGAGTTTTTTTCCTAATCTTCAGCAGAACTTATTTTCCTGGTTTGAAGCTCTTCGTGCAGTTGGCTTAGCTACACGCTTCTGTCAAGAAAAGAACCTCACCCAGAATCCAACAATATCTGAACAGATGATGCTTCACTTGCCGTAAAAGAAAAAAATAGTACTGCCATCAAGGGCAATGGCACTTGGAAGGCACTATCTTCCTGTTTCCTAACATAAGCAAAACAGGCACATTCATTTAACTAAGAGAAGAAATATGTATTGAGCCTGGATCTTACAGTCCTTACTCACACTACTAATTCCTCATTGAAAACAAAAAGGGATTAATTAATTGTGGTTATGTACAAACGATGCAGAATAGGTCTCTAGCCATTCAACAACCGCAAATAAATCTGGTGCTCTTTCATAACCTTGACTCTTCTCCATCTTGTCCTCTCACCATGCTCTGACCACTGACTACACTAAAGACTTACAATTTATGAATTCTTGAAAAAATAAATGCTGAAATTGTCAGTTAGTTATCTGCTACCACAACCTCTGACTAAACATGTCTAGATAACACACTACAGCCCATCCACTTAGAATCACAGAGTTTCTGATGCTGCAAGGGTGTCTGGAAATCATCTAGACCACTCCTGCTGCTCAGAGCAGGGTCAGCTACAGAAGGTTGCCCAGGACTGCGTCCAGCTGGGTTTTAAATCTCTCCAAGGATGCAAACTCCGCAACCTTCCAGTGCAACCTTTCCAGTATCTGACCACCTCCACAGTAAAAAAGTTTTCTCTTACATTTAAATGGAATTTCTTGTATTTCAGTTTGTGCCATTATTGCCTCTTGCTCCGAGAAAAGTTTGGCTTTGTCCTCTTTACACCCTCCCATCAGGTATTTGTATGCATTGATAAAAACTGCCCCTGAGCCTTCTCTTCTCCACGCTGAATGGTCCCAGTTCTTTCCTTCCTCTTTAATTCAACTTCTTTTTCGAGTTTACATTATCATGACAGCAGCCAATAAATGATAACATAAAAAGGGAACATGTTTCATTTCTATTATTAGTAGAACTGAAACATTCAAAAAAGGGAAGTTCAGACAGTTATATCACTATCTTATTTGTACACATGAAACACAGCACAACTAATGAATTAAAGATTAATGCTAGGTTTAAAAGAGGATGAGAGCATCAGCTACTGCTTTCCAGGGATTTAAAAAAAAAGTTGGAAAATATGTACAAGGCCTGTATATCTAACTATGCTTCTAAAGGCCAAGGCCTCCTATCCATATACTGCTGGAATAATGCACATATACATTCATTTACAGACTTAGGATGTTCTTTAGGATTTTATAGTGTCATAGACTATCATATATTATCATAGATTAGAAAGTCTTTTATCAATTTTACAATGTTTACAAAGATGATGAACTTGCATTGAATGAGAGGGAGAATATGGATTCATTGGCCCAACTCTTCACGCTCTGAAAGATTTTATAAATGAACATTATAATAAAAACAGATGGATTGAACTAGAAGTGAGAATGAGCCTTCAATTGCTTTAAGTACTTCTCTCCTTTTTTCTATGCTTTCAAGTCCTCTGCAAAGAAAGCTCAATGAATCCAGGTTCACAGAAAAGTTTAAGGTTGATATGAAACAACAAAAATGGCTAATAATGTACATGTTCCCCTAAGGCATTAGCAGGGTTTGAACAACTAGCCATTACTTCCATAGAGATAACCCCAAATCTCTTGAGCAAAACTTACAGTGAACTTGTGAGAGGAGCATAATACATTCTTCTACAACACCAAGACTCTCCAGAAATGAATACAATTTGGTTTTGGAAAAACAACTTCTTTGTGTGCATATATGTGCATAAACATCCTCACATGCAAATGGATGACATGAAATATACGATGTGGCAAAAGCTTTATTAGAAAGAAGAAAGAAGGTGACATGTTCCAAATAAAAAATGCATAATTTGAATTCATAAGCCTTATGTTTTCTTATTCTAAATACTTTAGTATTCATTTTTAAATTGACATTACACTGTGGTCTATTTGCCTTCACAGAGAAGGTAGGTCTTCTCTGTATACAATGCAAAAATGTGGGGATTAAGTGAGAGGAAGCAGAAGCTTGTGTCAACTCCATATTCCCAACAGTCCAGCTGACAACAGAGATAAGGAACAACTGGCTACTGGAAACAGCGGACAAACACTTTCCTGTATACAACAGGCTAAGGCCCCTGATGTGACACACTTGTGCAAGCTCATTCCAAATATAATAGCACTGTCCTGACCAGTATTTATTTATATACACAATTAATACAGGTGTGCACTCCCTCCTACAGCCTCCAGAAATTCCCAGTCTTTATCCCTTTCCTCCTATGTAATGAAATCGATCTCCAGCTCTCGCTAAAAGCTCATTCACAGTTCTCTCACATTCACATTTTTCACCTTGGTAAAATAATGATTAATGCAGAGCTCTCAAGCATAAAAAATGTCTTCTGATCAGCAAAGTGAATTTCACATTACATTTCTGAAAAGCAGAATAAATTAAATGTTTAAACATGACATACAGAAAGGAGAAATCAGCAAGCTATCATTTTGAGAATACAAACACATATACACCATGCATACACCAGGACTGGCTTTGAGTTTACATACTGGTGTGCAAAATGAGCAGTGTTTATCGCTGTCAAACAAGAAATTGGACTTCTTTCTTTGTGGCAAATGGCAATAGGAATATTTCATTACTTCCCAGTATCTTTCTGACCCCTAATCACTATGTGTATGTGCCTGTACATATTCATACTTGTGGATTTTTTCCTCACAGTGATTAAATGGAGCGGACAATCAATGTCTAGAATGACCCTTCCTGAAATCAGTATCTTGTGACCTGAATGCAACAGTGTGAATTGCTAGGTGGGCTGTGCTAGCAGACATGGCTGTTTTTCGGAGAACACACTTCCTGAATGTCACGTAGAAGTTATTGTAGCACTCCTGTCCGGGTTCACCGTGCACAGTACTTACGTGATGGTGTCAATCATATCCAGTCCCATTTCAACACAGCAATGGGCATGATCTGTTTTGGGCTGGGTCAATCCTGATACACAGTAGTAACAGTCCCCTAGGATTTTTATTCTTCTGCAGTGGTTTTCCTTTAATAAAAACAGAACGGGGGAAGTTTTACTATTCTTATAGATATTCCAATATTTACAGGATAAAATCTTCTCCAATACTATGCAATCATTCACAGAATCCTTTGGTGGTCAAATGAAGTAATTTACAGTTCATGAAATCTGGGTTCCCTGTACAGAACAGCTGACATACACGTATTTGTTTATCTACTTATTTACAAATACACACATGTATACTGGAGATCAGTCCCGCATTTTTCAACACACATAGGGTAACACTGCTTAAAACTATAGTTCTGAACAAGTATTATTCCCTTGCCCTCACGTTAGGTCAGTATGAAGTCAAGATTTACCATGAGACTTCATTTCTGTATGAATCAAAACCAAAGGACTGAAGCCAAACTACCACTGAATATCAGGAAATATTTGTATTCTGAGAACCTTTTGTTTCAAATCCAGTTCCAACTTACCAAGAAAGATGGTGTATTTATCTGTAAAGGTACACACATTTGTGCATTACCAATTCATAAAACACAATTTACAATACGGCATGATCAGTGTAAATATGACACACTTGCAGATCAGGAGATACAGTCGATTTGCATTACCATCGAATTTATCTCCTGTTTGCATACAGTTTAATTTCTACAGCCAAAGAGATCTGGCTAAATCTCTCCCATTTTGAAAAACCAATGATGGCATGTGATGATTGCTACATTGGTCTGAGCAGAAAGTTCATTTCTCAACAGAGAGCACATAACAAAATGCCTTTAACAAAGCAGTGCCTTTAACTAATAAACTATGAGGAGACATGAAGAGATGGTGGTATCCCTTGCAGCTGGACTGTTGCAGCTTCTACCCATTTAGAGTATGGCACAGAAAAGTAAATAACCTGATCAAATGAATCCAACTTACACAGCTGGGACTATGCCAGTAAAGTGCCACGCAAAATTAGCTGTTGTGAATATGAGAGAAGATTAACAAAAATCTGATTCCTCCCCCAGCAGTGTGCTATATAGGCTTGACTTCAGTGGCACAGAAAGGGGAAAAAAAAGGGGGGGCAGCGGTGGTGGAATTTAAAATTTCTGGAAAAAATGACCTAATCATACTGGTTCAGCTTCTCATATAGGCACATATTCTCATCCAGTCTCCTGCCTACAAGAATCAAAGCCTTCCTGAGTTGACCACACTCTCCACATCATTACCCATATTCCAGCTCAGAAGCGCTGGTTATGGCCTGCACCAACCCCTTTCTCTCGGACATGTCATACACCAGCATTCAGGGCTTGTTATGACACACTCTTCCAGCTGCAGGCATTCCCATGCCTGTCTTCTTTGTAAATGTTTCTGAGTATTGAACAAATATTATAAAATGAGAATTACCTCTGCTCAGGCACGGAAGAAGGCATGCTAACACTGTTTGGGAAAATCGGTTTGTCTACTTCTTTTTATAAATAAAGCAGTAAATTCAGATCTTGAATCAAAGAGAGACATCTTTTTGGGTATGCTAACTAGTAGAAAAGGCTTTTCTAAAAGTGACTACTTAACATTTCTTCTGCTGTACCGCAAGATTTTAAATATACCACTAATTATCATTGCTAATATATATTTTAATGAATGCAAGCATAATTTTTCTAGAAGCATTATCACCAGGGCCTTAGAGTATTCCCACAGCCTACAGCCACAAAATGCCTCACCAATTTTACTTGGAGTTTTAATTGGGTATTTTGAGATCCTTGGCTAAACGGTATTATATAAGTAAAATAATTACTAATGCACACAAAGTAATATGCAGACCTCAAAATCTACCCTGACACAAAACAGGCCTTCCAACTCAAGGTTTTTGGACAGAAACCACTAAGTTTTTTAATAGAAACCACTAAGTTTTTTAGTAGAAACCACTAAATTATACTGCCAAAATAAGCTTTTTTTTAAAATTGTGGGCAAATCTTGAAGCAGTAGAGAGTACTCAGTAGTTAAAGCTGGAACCTACTTTCCAAAATAAATCCAGTTTTGGCCCACACCTTACAATCCTCTATAAAGCCCTTTTCATCTTCAAATTTGGTATGCATGATTTGTGGCCAGGCACTGACTATTTGACCCAGCTGTAAGTTGTTCAGAAAAACCATTTCAGTAATCTGGGGTGGACAATACGTATGTGTTAATCGATCAGTGTTCTCTCCTATGCAGTGTCTACCTCCAAAATGGCTCATTTCTAATGACTTGGTTTTCTTAGAGAGCTTACCATGCTATAAAGCAGTATTGCACGTTTTATAACGGGATACACAAAATTACTGTCAGACTGGCACAGCACAGCCTAGCAGCCTGGTATATAGTTTAAGAAAGGAAAAAAAAAAACAAAAACAGAACAGGGCTTGATCCATTACCACTTTTCCAAGGCAGGTTATTACTTGTGCAGGAGAAAAATAAAAGAAAAAGAGAATAAGACTACAGCATTTTCTGGAGAGAGATTGATTTTGATGAAAGACATATGGCTAAATCACCTGGTGTTTTTGAAACCACCACTCTGTTCCTTGTCAGATGTTATCCTCACTGCCCTTATTTATAATAATCAGTTAATATACAGTAATCTCTAGAAAAATTGTCTGATTTCTTTTTCTCAACATGTGAGGCAGACTTCCAGGAAGGAGATGCAGTGCAGCTTTGTAAGAGCAATCTTTTTAAGGATTGATATGCAAATTAACAAACCCAACCCTTTCCCTCTCTGTTTTGTTTCCTCAGCAACTTCCAAAGAAGCCCTCGACTCGGCAATATTTTTCACATTTGTGACAGCGATGAATTCAAGTGTGATAGTTACAAATTCTAGTCACAGTTGATACAAGCAATGTCTCTTTAGAAACAGCTGATAATTTGGTTTTATGCACATGATAAAACCCACCAGAGATTGCTAGCACTGCATCAGCCAGGCAGCTTGCCCACCTGCGGTGCCTGGCTGAGACGTTTCCAAGCGGATCTGCAGAATTCCCTCTGGCACAACTATCAGTCACAGGGATTGTCAGGGTGAAGTGGAAGCCCAGCTCTGAAAGCAGAGGATACTTCAAAGTTGCTAAGAGCTTTCTTTACACTTTCAGACAAGCACTTTATAAAGCAGTTCATTCTACCTATCTGTCAGGTAGAAGGGAGGGGGGGAGGCCGCCTGTTTCAATTCTGGGGTTTTGTTGTTGTTGTAGTTCTTGATTTAAATGTATTTTGCAGAAAGACTGAAGTCTGCCAACTCAGACTGCAGAACTGGAAATTCGGACCTTAACTCCATAGTCTTGTACTATACAAGTCAAATACTGTTTTCTATACTCAGAACAAGGCTTTTTTCTTTTTAAATAAAAAGTAAAGGGAAAAGAACTTGCAGTTTGTAAACAAACAAACAAACAAACATATATCAAAAAAGGTTGTCTCAGAGGAATAACAAAGTTTAAGGAGCTTTCAGACCTCTCCCAGCAGAATACACAAGCAGCCAGCCAGGTGTTCTCTTGGACAGAGAGACTGTACTGGATAAGTGCAAAGTCTTTTAAAGGTGGATCTTTCTCAGATATCAGATTGCAGCAATCCTTATTGTCACTGCTAGGTTTTGGGTTTTGGGGTTTTTTTTTAATAGGCTATCCAAGTAAGTAATCATTTGTTACATGAATAGATCCAAAGTCAGGGATGCTCAGTACATTATTTTTGTTTCTTGTAACACTGTCTGGCAGGAGAAGAGCTTCTTTAAAGCTTTTGTTTATTTTAGAAATGGCAGTTGCTAATGCAGGAAAGAGTCCCTGCTCTGCCTTCTGTCACTGCAACAATCTATGTATTTCCACAAACTCATGTGTCATCATGGTGTGTGAGCATCTATCAAAGCCAAAAAGGAAGGCCAGATAGATTACAGTTTTAAAAAGCAAGATTTTAAAAGCTAAACATTGAACTTCTCCCTCCGGTAACTCCACTAGCTGCACTGGAATTGCACCAAGGATGAGTCTGACTCTGCGTGACTTAATTACAATATATCTTATGCTTATTATACACATCCATTTCTTTTTCTGCAAGCCTGCTAGCAATCTGCTTTGCAGGTGTGCTCTTCAGACTTTTACTGTCCTACCCTCCTGGAATCACAGTCTCTGAGTAGGAGGGATTTTATTTGTCCATAAATTAGAAAGACTTTTTTTTGCCATTCCTACTAATAAAAACTGCATCAGCTAAGGTACATAAAAAGATTCTTTACTATATTCAGCCAATTTGGATTTAGTTATGCTGTGCAGAGTAAAAGAAAAGATTATTAAGGCCTACAAAAATATGCATAAACAGCAATTTCCGTTTCCCCTAACTCAGACCCTACCAGTCTTACACTCTCCTAGAATGCTCTTGGACACAAGCAGTAGTAACATTTGGTTTTGTTTAGGCTAGAAACATGTGAACAGGGGTTTGGTCACTACCTACAATGCTTACTGATTGCAAAATTAAGAGTCCTAAAAGAAGAAAGAAAACCAAAACCAACACATGTCCAGTTCAGCTATTTAAGAGTTGGGGTAAAAGGGCGGAGATCTATTAGGCCAGCACTTACACTGAAGGCTTTACTCTCTCAGGTAAAGGCTTTGACATCCTCACCAAACCTCAGACTTCAGCATTAGTGAGATATCTGGATATTGCCCCTGCATAGCTGCAAATGAGTACACGAGCAGCGCTGCATACAGCGGAGGAGTGGAAGGAGATGCACTGGCAGCTCAGGGAGCAGGTCTTGAGCTCAAAACCCCTTCACGCCTCCCCCATCCATTCACTGCCTGAAACTCAGTCTGTGGGGGGAACAATAACATTGCCCTAATCCCTGAAAAAAACCACTGTTAGCTCAATGTTTTCTTTGCATACTGAAGACAAGTCTTGGGCAGAGGGAAACCATCAAAATGCAAACCTCTGATGGCTCAGTTTTCACTGAGAGCAGAATTAATTCTGGGGGGACAGTGGAGACCTGCAAGGGCTGAAGAAGGAAGATACACTGCTCTCCTGGTGCTGCCAAGAGCTTCGTCACTGGG